CGTCCCGTGTCTTATTTGCTCTTTGTTATCCGTGCTACCAAATCCACAATCTGTGCTCGGCGAGGTGCGACTTGTCGTGTCCACATTCTGGCCCAAACATTTTGGGCCTCTACGCCGGAAGATTCCTCAAAAGGTGTGCTAAACATGTGAATTAGTTGTCAGAAGCGGGCCGAGTCCTCCTTGTCCTTCCTTCCTCCCTTCCTCCCTCCCTCCGACGTGAGACCCACAGTGGAGAAAGTCAAAGTCCAGGACTTCTTCCACTCAAAGGGAGAGCAAATTACTAACGAAAATTATGGGTTTAGGGTTTAGGATTTTTCCATTTTCAGCGCATGGACTTGGACTCCTCCTTTTGCTTCCTGGTTTCTGGAAGCATGCTTTCTCCGGCTTCAGGGAGATCGACTTCCACTCGTACAGTATGATGGCCAGTGCTAGACACTGCTGGAGCCCTTCGAGGTTTGTTCCCGTAGCTCGTAGCTCGGAAAGGGCGAGGCAGTAGATCCGAGGAGATGGAGGATAAGCACTGCAGCAATAACTTCACCATCATCATTGGAAGCTTGAAACAACATCCTTCAGATGCCGGTTTGAGAGCTTCTGTTGCTCGCAAGTTGGATGGATGCCCTGTACTGTTGTTGTGGGTGGGCGTTTCACTATGCTCTTGTCTTAAACAGGCCGTCCAGATTCATGTCACTCGTATGCATCTTCGACTATGCTTTTTCTGTCGGGTTTAAACGAACTGTCTCTACTTGATGTAGGCTGTTAAGGTAAGCCCGATGAACCTGTCAAGCAGACCAATGGTGGTTTGTTTCTTCAGGAACATCCACATGTCAATTTTCAATCTGGTAGGATCAACATAGATCTGGACATAGCTTTAGCGATGCGGAGGATTTCCACGTCAAGCCGTGATACAAATACTAGAGATTCAATTCACGCTAACTCTTAGATTCTGAAACAAACCTGTGCCTCAAAAGGAACCAGGGGTTTGTCATGTCATGATAAGCTCAAAGAAGGGACCGTAGAATGTCTTGATGGAATGAGGAAACAGCCTTGACGACAAGAGAGTGCGCAATGTCAGTAGTGACGGTGATAGAGAATTCTCTTTGAGTCAAAATGTGCTCTTTTGACAATCAAAGCTATCTCCGATTCTGTGTAAGATGTCATACTGATTTTCAGAACATCATGGAAACCTCTGGGGAAGGTTGTGCCTGAATGATTAGACCGACAGAGTTCAAAGGGTATGAATGCTGTTACCAAATTCTAAACCACTGTTCATCTCTTGGAAAGAGATTAAGAAAGAGAAAAGAGAAAACACAGTCCATTGATTTGGTGTCGTGGTGTGACGCACTCTGATTGCTGGACACACCAACATATGCAACCAAGCTTCGGTGAATGTTTGCCCGCCTTCCGTCCGCGTGATGCAACACGAAATGGGAGAGATTCTTGTGGCACCAAGATCGGCAAATGCTTCCTGAAGGGAAACAAGTAAAATAAAATAAAAAAACAATATAAGTGCATAATACACACACCTCGGTACTCAAGTGGTACTGTGATAGGGCCTTTCACTGTGTGTGCATAATTTAATGTTAAGATTGTGTCCGGATGTTGACATTCTTCGAAGAGAAAGTGCTTCCTATGATTTTCTACCCCAAGGTTTACTCACCAAAGTGTACAAATGAAATTACTTTTTGACCCACAGCTGTCTCAAGTTCTTGTAGTGCTGTTCCTTGTTGACCTCAATCTGATCGATTGCGTTTGAGATTCCAAAGGTCTTAACTTCATACATGTAGATTGCAGATGTAGCATTGCTGTAACTTCGAGACTTATGGAGCTAAGGAGCTTTGAATAGGTAAAGATGACACCTAGTTGTGACAAATCCAAATAGTAATAGTATTGGCAATAATGAGTTCATATTTTCCTGGCATGTTTTTTTGGATACTCATTAAAATAAGTACTAAAAAAAGAAAATTCTTCAGGGTGATTGTTATGGAGAAGATCTTGAATGAGAAATGTCAAATTTCTGGAGCGAGATGTAAGAAATGGCCCAAGTTTTTTGCAGCATACTAGCTTCATGATTACAACTTGGACTACCCGCGTTCTGATTGATTCACGTTCGCACATAATCATTTATTTCATGAATGGTTATGTCGAAAGAGTTATGTCCAATCAGCTACAGTGGGCTATCCCTAGATATGGAACCTTAATATGTTACCCGAGCTAGGTTACAAACACAACAATTTCACATAAAATATATTAGTATATATAAAACTATCGTTGTTTGTGCCGAGATACACCAAAGGACATGGATTACTCGGGTTTGATTTCCAAGGACATGAAACTTGTGGTGATTATTCAGTTCACAGATCTAGTGGGTTCAGTTTTCATCATATATATATATATATATATATATATATATATATATAATGTGCAACAGAAAAGTATTCCTCGTGAACTTCCACGAGCACCAAAAACTAAACAAGAAGGTAATGCATATACACTGTTTTGTATGTATGACGTCTCCTAGCAAGTCTGACAAGATCAGCAAAGGTAGCACAGAGATCCGAAAATTGGATCTGACGAAGAACAGAAAACTAATGATTACTGCAGCAGAATAAGAAGCCAGCGAAGAAATCTCAAAGCATACTGTCTATAAACGGATCGCTATGGTAGCATGATTCCATACTTAACTTACTAAAACGACTGAAAACATGGGGCATTTGAATCATATGGCTCCCTTTGAGGTAACAATATCATGTGCTTATTACTCCTTGCTAGTAAGTCAAAACTACTGTGCGAGTCTTAGGCACAAAAGGGATGAAGTTAGATGTTGATATTGTCGGATACTACAGCAAGTATCTTCAGTATCCATTTCCTTCATGCCACATTGCAATTTGGAGTTTGAGTCCATGTGCTGGGGAATTGCTCTTGCATCCAAATATCAAGCTCCATATACAGGTGCCCGTGTTCGGAGCGTAGGTCTGTTGGTCCAATTAAAGCACAATTGATCATTTTTCTTTAGAAAAAAAAACAAAAGAAGACAAAAATAGCCTTGAACTTAAAGTTCAAAAGTCATATTAATGTTGATCGCAGATATTATTATCTTCTAAACACTTGTCATAATTCTTCTGTTGTGTACCTCTGCCCTCCAGCTCCATCAGACATAGAAAGCAAAACATCTTTTCCCAAGTTATAAGGGGTTACATATAGTAGAAAGGCAATAAAATGGCTTGCGTCAGTTCCATAAAAAATGGATTTGTTAATGTGAGGTTGCCTGGATGAGTTCCAAATGACTAACTCCATGAATTTCTTACATGAATTCCGAGTTTAGAACACTTAAATCACTTCAATTACCTGTTTCTAATGATTATTTTAAAACTGAAAACAGTCGAACAATTTCTCTGTTTAATCTAATGGATAATAAGTTTTGGAAGGGATCATCCATTCACGAAAAGAACATTAAAGAAACCTAATGTTTATGTTTATTCCGGGTTTGTTTCGAAAGCGCCATATATATATATTCCACATTTCTAAAAAATCAAACAACTTTGCATGACAAGGTCCATCAAATGTTACATCTTATACTAACTTGCTATCAGATTAGGTTCCCGCCCCTACCCTGGAGGTAGACTACAGGTTGCAAAAGGCTGAAGGACTCTAGCCCTAGACCCTGCAAGAGAACTAGTAAGAAGGTGCCAAACCAAGAGGACGGGCGGAAACAAGGCAAAAACTATGTGGCTCGGTTTCTCTCATTAATGTGGCTGGGGATTTCGTTTCCAAATAATCCCTGGTCTCGGCTTAGTTATATTATGATTGGGGCATACATCAAGATTGTGGTTGGAAGAACAAGGAGTAACATTGTGGATGACATCAACATTTTGGTGAGTTGAGCTGTGCATGATTGCTCTGCCGCCAGATGCAATAATTGCAGGTTGTCTCATTTCAGCATGAGGACCAAGGCATGGAACCGAACTTTCCTTCCTTTTGCTCCCCCAAATCGATTGCAATGAAGACCTCGTGGAAATTTGGTGGTGTTTGTCAAACTGACAGATATAATTGGATCTGGTTGTGCTTGAATCTTACTCAGTACACCTTTCAAATCGATTGCGTATTTTTCTAAACAGAGTTTGTCACACATATTTGATGAGTTTACATGCTCATACATACTCTCATCATATGGCTTTAACCAGAAGGCGGAGTCATGTCCAAAGAGAATCAAAACGAATGTTTTGTAACACGTAAAACATGAAAACCTCAGTGATTTGATAAGTGTGTACAACAAGTGGAGGCCCTTTTGACGTGCTACACATTTTGTGAGTTCTCCATTGGTCTAATGTAAGGATGCACAGTATCCTGCTCGGGAGAGAGCTATGATATAAGATGCATGTCCACGTTTTAGAGCAGGATCGGAAGAAAAATCGTTGACCAAACTGCTTTACAGCTTTGCCTGTTTATGGTGCAAAAACCGATGTCAGTCTTCGGAACTTGTCTCCAGACTAGTATGCTCTTCGTGACTTTGTCTACGGCACTATGCAGGTACTGTACTACGGGTACAGTGAGAATCCGGAAGCTAGTTATTCTTATAACAATTGGGATGACTTTAACAAGTCATCCGGGCAATGACAAAGTGTATGCAACCATGTGACATGAGATTGACTCACTAATAGTGGGGGCACATCCGTGTACTAATTCAAAGATCCCATAAATGTCACTGTAGTCGACATTTATCTAAAGTACAAAGCAGTACAAGATGTCCGTATAATATTCCCATGTTACCCAGGAAAGAGAGCATTTGAATTGGTTAGATGAGATCATGCGAAACAAGCATGCGTTCGAACGTACTACCTCATAGACATTCGCAGAGCTAAAATATTGTGTACTCTTCCTCTTATTCCAACATGACGGCCGACGCTGGAGAGATTCTTACTCCGGCGTGCCTCCAGAGAAACCCCATCAAAGAAGGAAGAGATACTTATGAACAGAGAGAACGTGAGTATCAAATTCAGGGACTACTTCTTCGATAAAGAATACACTTGCTGGCATCTGACCAGACCTGCCGCACCACCGTACGCAAGCCACTGTCTTTTCGGGTAGTTACAATTCCATCTCACACGATGAACAGCAATGTTTCTGCAAGGAAACCGTTCACCCGAAAGTGGACCAGTGGAAATGCTATGGACGTCAGCCTGAGGAGCAGACTGTTCTCCACCTCTCTCTGCATTTGATATATTAGCTACAACTAATTCCGAGCTGTCACTATTCCTGCGAAGGGAATTCATTTGAGCGTCTCTATGACGATTTACTTGAGATATTGTACCCGTTGCAGCGATTCCTTTAGCTCGCTTGGGTTTCGAAACCAAAGCGTCCTCAGAATTGGTCGCAGCTTGGCCTACATCGCCACTCTCAGGATCCAGAGAACAGGAGGCTAAAAAATTTCTCTTGGACGTTGGCGTACTACTCCACTCTGTCGACGATTTTTTCATCTGGACCGGTTCAATTGTCTTCGCAGATAGCAAAGTGAGAGGCCCATCCTCTGAGTTCGCTTCGAAAGCTCCACATAGGAAGTGTGGCTCCCTAGCTCGAGCTCCTTCCTTCAATACAGCTTTCTGGGTAAGCTGGAGAAGAAAAAAATAAAATTAGGAAATATGTTAGTAAGGCTGTTAATGAAATGCAAACGTCAAAAACATCTTTGCACTAAACTGGCCTCTATGTGCATCAATTTTCGTGTTCTTCTCTGCACTACTGACCAGATTAAGATCTGGTCAAAACATCTGTTCACAAAAAATCTCAACAGAACAGGGAGCAAAGAAAGAATGACCTGTCACAGACGACACCAGAGTGTCTTCTGTGATACATCACCTTTAGAGAACAAGCTAACAAAAACTTACGCTTTTTTAGAACCGTGCTATAAGTAACTTCAAGCTGTTGACAGACAAAGCAACTATACAACTACAAACACAAACAAACCCATGAGTAGACCACATCTTAGAGGATAAAAAAATCAGACAAGAATGCTCTCTCAATCGGACATATAGTTCACAAGTTAAATACATAATTTACCTGAAATTGGAGAACTGAGCCGTTCGCACCACCATATGCCACAAGTCCTGTATTAAAACATTACATGAATGAATTGTTTGGGAGGTAAAACTTTGCTTCGGTTTAGATACTGACCATCAAGAAAGGTATTGTATAAGGATCTCCAGGTATGTAAATATATATATGAGAAAGGCGACACTTAAATACAACCAGAAACTCTCAATAACAGCACTCTGAAATGAGAAAGAAAAGTTACACAGAAGAAGGCATGTGAGCAATCACAATGAGAAGGATAAAGAAAGCTAGAAATAGACGCGAGATAAGAATGTAAATTAACAAAGGGGAATGCGGAAAGCAGTATGAAGAGTGAAGAGTATCAGGATGTGTGCAATATGAGTACGGAAAAGCAGGCGGAGTAAGACAACCACAGATAAATGGAGTGGGCAACACGACATATAAAAGTGCATCAGAAACTATGACATAGAATTCTGCGTGGGAACACAAGCAAGAGGAGGACCTTCAATACACAGACATGGAGTAAGTGATAAAATATTTATTAGTGCGAAAGCTAGCAGGACATAGGGAGTGTATCCAGAAGTACGTGACTTAAGTCCATGAGATGAGTCTGTAGATTGATGGAATAATGGAAGAGGTTGGAGGAGGGTTTGATCAAGCATAATTGTCTACCAATGAGACATTAAAAAACATGTAAAAGATATGGCTGGGCGCCATAATTTTTAGACTGTAACAGAGGTAGAATATTGAGGACTTAACGTACAAAAACTGCCTCAAAGTACAGGTAAGAGAGAACCTACAAAGACAAAATTAATTATGTCGTAATTTCCCTTCTAAGTCTCTATTATTAACTTTGAGTCACATGGAGGCAGGGAAATGGCTAAATTGATTGATCAAGTGTGGAAGTTAGCCATTACCGTAAAAATGAGTGTTAATTACTGAATTAATGAACGAAGTTGTGAAGACGTAATATTCAACGAAGTTATGCATCAAATATATACATAAGTAGAAAATTAATTTTACTTATATGTAACTAAATTATGTGCACATGGAGTTGGTAAAACAGTAAGGAAGAATAGTTTTCCAAAATTCTAGCAGGACATATAACAAACCTGTGGCCCGCGATACTTGGACACTCCATATAGCAAAGGAACTACAAAGATAGCACTGAAGCCCCTGAGCATGTGTTCCCCGCCATGGCTGCCCAGTTGTAGGAGTTAAAGATGAGGCATTTACAATTCCAAGAAGACGAAGGGTGCCATCATCCATTGACATCAAGAGGGATCTGTTCAGATGCGGAGGTGCCATTTCCCATCTCGTTAGACGTCAGAATGCAAATCAGAAAGAAAAGCTTCAACAAAAACTTAAACTTCAGAACTTGGTGACACTGATGCAGGATAACAAATAGTAGCATCGGCCTCCACAGTATAAGAGCACCTTGGATATGACAACCAATCCATGCTCGAGATACAGCATCTTGACGTTTGTAGGTCCCAGATGGGCCGGAATATATCTCTGCTCAGGAATAATAATCACAAGAACAGTATTCAAAGGTGTCAAGGATCACTCATGACCGCTCTGTAGAAATTAATTACTTTTACGGCCGACATGACTTAACGTTACGGATTTTCTTGCATCCTTCGGCCCGGTTGCAAAGTCTCACGGATTATGTCTAGTGTTGAGTAGTTATGACCACCCTATAAAATTCTACAGTTAAAGAAAGGAGACCTCAAACTTACTTTCTATCAACAAACTCTTGCATGACAAATATCTAGAATACCTCATCAATGAAAACATTCTATACTTTTGATTCTCAAGACTATTTTCAGAAAATTTTTGCTATCCATTGCGGGAAACAATTCTCCGGAACTAGCTCTCTGCAGCTAGGCACGTCGTCAGGCTGTAACAGGCGCAGAAAACTCTATACAGATTCAACCAATATACTGTATATCTCTCAGTTAACACAATCATCGTTCTATGAGCTACTTGAGAACGGGTTTACTTGCCTAAGCCCTCTCTTGATGAGAATCTTCATTCTCTTTAGGTGAAGTACATTGCCAAAACACCAAGCCACTGAAGAGAGACAATATTTATCAGAATAAGACTACCTAGGAAAGAACACTATACCTTAAATCCCAAAACTTTACCCATCCACTATGCCCAGCTGTGACAATCAAGTGTCTTCCTTGAGGGCCGCTGCAAATAGAAGCAGCACAACCATAAGAAAGCTTACATACAAGTGCACTAAATTAATCGTCCATGATAAGCAGATTCAATCCATGGTGTACTACTGAGAACGCAATACGATCACACATATAGTTGATCATTCACAAACTAAACTAACCTCCCTTCTGGTGCCCATGCGACTGAACGGAGTGGAAGTGCATCAGCTTGGAAGAGCATCAATGGTCGCGTCTCTGCATCCAATCATTTAAACGTCAAACACTGTACTAAAGAGCTTCTCAAGTTCGGACCCAGTCCCTATTCCTTTCACCTAGCGCAATATGTGTCTAGGTCCCATATTACACTGAAGTTTACACTCGCTCAAAACTTTAAATGAAGTCATCCATCTCATGATCCTACGTTTGATCCTCTGAATTCAAAACTTGATCCAGTTGACCTTAATCATTAAGACGAATACGAAAGCAACGCAGGCATAGCAATTATAATCAAGTGACAGAGCAAAACCTGTTGCGGGGAAATCTGGCACAAACTCCCATACTCCAACCTGCACCGGAAAATATCGCCACAAAGCATCTTGTATTGATGAGAGAAAGTCTTGAGTACTAATTCATTACAATTTTGTCTCACTCATTAGATCTGTGAAAGAAAGAGCCATCCGAGCATTTGCATTTGAATGATGCTCTTTTCTTGCCACAACCTGCAAGTTGGTCTTTGATTACCTTATGGGTTGAAACTGTCTTCTAGAAGAACAAGATCCAAAAACTTGGATCTTGTTCTTCTACTTCAACGCTAGATCCGAGTTGAGAGCAGACGTAAGAAGTGCGGAAATGGGACTTACCGATGCATCGTGAAATCCCACAAGAAGCCTATCATGGGAATCCCAGGTTGACCATTCCACGGAAACAGGTATACTGCGCAAGAAAGTCCAATAACAGCTTCAGTAAGTAGATGTTAAATCTTCACCTCTAGTACTCAAGTTGTTCAAGAGAAAGTCCTTGTGCATCTAACTTTCTACCAGATACTAGACTTTCAGTCCACATTCTGCTATAGAGGAGAACAATGATACAACCTGATATCGGAGCAGGCATCGGTGACCACGAAAAGCTCTTAATGTAAGGTTGATAATTGAAAAGAACTTAAATTATAAATGCTTCACCTCTTGTTGCCACGTTTCTGGAGGCTTGAACATTGGAAGACGGGCTCAATGCTCACGATCAAGGGTTCTTCGCAGGATGTCGGGGTCGTGTTTGAAAATATACTTGGTAAAGGAACATCATACCTAATGACCGTAAAAGTTTGTGTCATGATATTTAAACAGGACTTCTTCAACAACGTGTGATATGAACATTCTCATATCAGAGGCAATTTTCAATTCTTTAAAATTGCTCCATTCGACAATGAGAAAACTTCAAGCTATCATGTCACTTTCAACAAGTAGTAATAAAGCATCAGCCGGACATGGGCTTGCAAGCCTTGAAGCAATTGCAATGAACTTATATGCCGATAGATTCAAATTAAACACAATTGAAACAAAAATAACAAAAATATCTCACACTTGTAGAGATCCGTTTCCAAGAACTGCAGCCAAGAACCCCAAACGCATCGATTCTCTTTCCTGTAGAGCAATTTTTTCTTCTGCAACAGGTTGCCACTTTGCATCCCAAGTAACGAGCCCTTCATGTGTTAAACCCAGCACCATTTGTGCTGAAGGTTGTTCTTCAGGCGAATCTTCATGCCATTTGAGGACTAGTGGCTCCTGTGTACCTGCGTCTTGATCCCTGGCAGTGAGATCCTCATTACAACCACCAACTGTTCCCTTCACCTTGCCTCTTCCTCTACCCCTGCCGACCCCTCTACCTGCAACCTTGCCACTTCCCGCGCTTCTGCCTCTTGTACTCTTGCCCTTACGGCTCTTTTCAGAACGCATTTTCTCTTCATCCTCACTATCATACTCTTTTAAATCAAGAGCCCAGATCTGAATCAGACCCTTTCCGTTCAGACACGTTCCCATCTTATTGTATGGAGATGATACTGGATGTGCCGCAACTGCGAGAAACTGCACAAGAAATGGCACATTCCTTTATTCAGTGCAAAACAAAGAGTGCAAGTTCCTCTAGACTGAAAGGCATGCGATAGGCAGCCAAAAAACTGCTCGCATACGTAAAATCCGGCAAACCTATACGTTCAGCTGTTAACAATAGTGAATTCGTGAAAGACAAGAAAGCTGATAAGCAGTAGATATCCACATCCCATGACTGTCAGATCGACATTAAGCCAAATTGTGTATACACTTTGTCGCACTCCATCAATCCCGAATCACTGTTGGAAGAGACTTGCGGACGATCTTCAATTAGCACAACTTTAGTGAATAAATCCGTAAGATTCCTTGCATCCAAAGTACCCATGGAAGTTATTTCTTAGAGACATCAACGATGAACTAGCTACTTTACAAGCTGTATCATTAGTACGTGCCTGTTATTTCCTTAAGACCATAGACCCAGGGCCTGGTGCTAGCATGAAGATACCACTTGTAAAAAAACAGGAACTGTGACTCTGTAGCGCTGGTAGGAGAAGAATGAACGAATAGGGCCGAGAACGAAAAAGAGATAGCCACCTAAGGATGGAAGGCGGAATTCGAAAGTGAAAAGAAAACCGCTGATCGATTAAAATGTATTTACGATTTTGGTAAGTTTATGAAAAGCACAAGTTCAATGGAAACACAAGTACGGCGTTTGCATGAAACTTCGAGCTGAAAGGCGAAAAGCAAGCTCAAGTGAAGGGGTTCTTTCCACGATACTATATAAAATGAAACCGCGGCTAAGGTTTGCATGCCAAATGATGCAAACATGCACCCTCAACACACATAGAACAAGAAACCGTACAATCAGTGCACGCAAGAAAGCAAGGTAAGGTACAGAACCAGAATGTAGTAATGTCGGCAGATGAGCCGGGTCTAGTAACGACTCCTAATGGACGTAAGTACAAATAGCGCTGACGTCTACTTAAAAAAATCAGTATTAACATGCTAAGAGTAATCCATCTGCGTGTATTCATACATAATTAGCAACTGACCTATTTCCGACTGCTTTGATTCAAACAAAAGCAATAACAATCTAAAATCTTCTTATTCCATGATTCGACGCTGAAAAGAATTATTGTCCTCTTGAGGTTGGAGTCAAAGAATTCCGCATGATCGACGGAACAATTGTACGCCATGCCATTGGCTCATAACTTCGAGAAATGGGCTGCTTATAATTCAGACAACAACATGATATCCATCCCATGCGAGAATTATCTAGTCCCAAGTTCAAAACTGCACTGGCAGGAAGACTCCAATCTCACATACCTCTTTCTTCTTGGCTTCAGTATACATCCATCCCGGTCTTTGCGGACACCAGTCCAGTGCCCATACTGGACCTCCTATGTGCAGTAATATATCCTTGCTGTTTCAATACCCCAGATCCCGAATTAAGTAAAGACCGACAAAATAAAAGTTCAAAATTCACCCTCAAACATTTGGCTTTAAATCCCGAGATTAGCAAACTACTGTGCGGTGATTCTTTGTGGGTAGGCTAAACCCTTACGTGGTGAGGTGAAGATCGAATACTAGAATCAAAACTACGCCTTGGAGAAAAAAGGCAGGAAACCGGTTGTGTGACACTTCCTAGAAATAAACACATATTTTACAAAACCAGTATCTCCTACGAGATTGTAAATAGAGCTCAGGATCCGCATTGATATTATTTCATTGGCAGTGCTTGACTCACCAGGAGCGAGCACTATCGTCCTGTACGTGTCCTGGCTGCAAAAGAAGAAGCAAATTTCAAAATACCGGACTAAATACTTCACAATTTCACCCATAAGTTATTAGTCAGGTCAAGAAAGAGACGGACCACAGTTCCCAACAGATTCAACTCTTCTGGGACACACTCTGCCTTAGATGATATTGCAAGTAACACTATTCAGAAGATCTCCATAGTTGTTTTTCTTATTTTCAAGGAAAGCCATTTGTTTCAAAAAATCTATGACATCAAGATACACAAGTCTGGGAACCTTTGATGGAGGTGGATCAAATCATCGTTACAAAAAACACATGGAACTTGTATATTATTAAGTTTGCATACTTTCTTCCCAGGTGTATGTAAACTCTGTAAAAATTTACCCCTATCAAAAAGTGATGACCAGGTGATTACCGAGAGAAAAAAGCTCAAAACCTCTCGCTTTCACTCCTACGCTGACTGCATTGTTTGGAGATGAAAGCATCAGTTGATGGTCCATATAGTGCTAAACATTTCCCGTACAACTCTATGCTCGCTTTGAATCTAAAACACCTAAAGCCTCCAAATTAAAAACGGTGTCTAGAAAATTAACGATTTTATGTAACTGGACTCCCTGCCAGGTGGATGAGAATAATTGCTCGATAACGTAGGTAAAGACCCAATACAGACAAAAACGAAGTTTAGAAGGAGGGAGAAGAAATCCGACTCACAGCAGGAATGGTAGCTGATTTGAATAAAGGCAGTTTGAGTGTAGGGGCATGGTCTTGACTTGAGGCATTGCTGCCATCAAGCTTTAAACGAAGTTCCGGAGACGTGGCAGCCAGCTGAGCAAAAGAAGACCAGTCTCTGTTGCAACAAAAGTGGGTTGGTCACCACCAATTTCCTTCAGATTCGCACTCATAACATATGCATGAAACCCTCATATACTTACGGCAAAGCAGGATGGCATCAAGAGCAAAGCAAGCAAAGTTCGAGGTCCACTGGAGACATCGTCCCGATAAGAGACGATAATTTCCTTGAGCTGTACAAAACGCGAAGATGGATACAGAAATCAATCAACTTGAACAAAGCAGTAAAGATGTCTCCTTGTCTTATTCACACGAAGTACAGCACAGAGGCTCACCCCTGACACTAACCAGGACGCAGAAACGAAGCCTGCCCTACTTTTGAGCCTCAGATAGAATGTGAGCAAGTGATGTCCAGTTCACCAACATAGAGGGGTTGAAAGATAAAAGAGTGTTGATAGCCTTGGTAACATACGAATGTATTTTAATTTCTGAGAGCCATATCCGAAGCATTTCTTCCATATCAGGCGAAAAGTTTCGCTTCCTCTCATCATTCTCATATTCCAAAGCCAGAAGAGCACGTTCCCCTGCTCCATGTTTTTTTCCGGTAATATCGCCTGCGGTTTTTAATTCTGATTCTTTCGCCTGGGTTGAGTGGCCTTCTAAATTCTTTCTACCCTGAACGTCTCGACTAGAGTTAGGACCCGCTTCAAGCAAACAGCCAGAAAGATCAGAGTCGCTCTCTTCAGTTGCAAAACTGCCTGCAGCCTGGTGTCCATCTGTACCCAACATCAATTCTTTCTTACGTCCTCTCCTCCCGGATGACTTATGATTGCCTCCCCTGATCCTGTGAATTTGGCCGCGCATTCTCAGCAATTCTGTCATGCTATCGGTGACAGGAGCAACTGCGTTAAGAGTATAATCTCTTTCCTCACCATTCAGGTCCTTCTGTTGACCTGCTATGTCTTCGCCCCCGCGTTTTGAGGCGGATGATGGTAGTTCAACGACACATCCTGGTTCGGTAGTCTCTCTGACCCGGCCTCTGCCCTTGCCTCTGCCCCTACGTTCTCTACTGCTATCATTCTGAATTGCCTCATTTGTTTCTTCAGCAACTTCACCTCCTCTCTTAGTTCCTCTACCTCTACCTCTACCTCTTCCCCTCCGTCCCCTCCCACTATTATTCCCTACCGAATCATTAGTTTCCTCAAAATCTGCACCTTCTGCACTCCTTCCTCGGCCTCTAGCTCTTCCTCTGCGCCCTCTCCCACAGATCATTGAATCATTGAATTCTTCACTATCTCCGTCTGCTTTAACACCTCTGCCTCTACCTTTTCCTCTACCTCTGCCTCCTCTGGAGACTTTCTTTCCCACATTCATTAACTGCTCCCTTTCTTCATCGTCTGCGGTGTGCGAAGAGTCGCCAATTCTTCCATCCAACTGGGAAGGCCCAACGATGTCATCAGTGATCCGTACGAGTGACTGGGAGCTTCCGTCTTCAAACCTCTCAGGTTCATTACATTCCCTTGCAATCCCACGTCCTGGTTCACTAATCTCCAAGCCCTCACTTTCAGCGGCTCCATCTTGCGTCCTACCCGTCACTCCCCCTCCCTCGAACAGAGTCCCTCTGCTTCCCCTTGCCAGTTTTTTCAGACTCTTTTTCTTGTCCCCTGTTTTGCATGATTCAACCGGTGCCGAATCCATCATGAACTCATGCTAAATTTCCGCACTTCACAACACTTCAATTTCTGAGCTCCAACAATCGTCTCAGACAATCTCCGACCATCGCAGAACGTGCTCCCAGACACTCCCGCACGACACTACCTGCGCAATCCGGTCCGGTCCACACTTGGTCTCCGATCTTTTCAAGGCGCACTCCAAAACTCGTCCGACCTGCACAGAAGGAGCGACCCGTGGCAGCCATCTCTGGATTCCCCGCATACGCGGTACCTCCAATGCACTTTACGGCCCCATTCTCGTCGAAAACGATAACCGATCAGGCAACAAAACTCGCCGGGCCACGACAGTGCAAGCCAATGCAATTTTCGTGTACAGCGTTCAGCAAAACGCGAAGGCAGCGATCGTGGTTTGACTGAACCTCCTCCTCCTCCTCCTCCTCTTCCTCTTCCTGTTGCTATTCCTATTCCTCCTCCTCCTGCTGCTGCTCCTGCTCACACTTCCCCGTGAAGGGAGCGAGCCGACCTGCACACCAACACCGTCACTCAATCATTCGGACGGGGCATCGAAATCACATTCCCTCCCTGGCGGAATCTTCCGCGCAATCCAGCAGCGTCCGAGTTCGATTCAAACTCCGACGTTTTCCTGCCCACCGCGAGACAGCGTCCCACATTCCTCCGGGCCCTTCGCTTCGACCGGGGATTCTCGCATGACTCCTTTCGTGCAAAGTCGTGCACGAGAGGTATGATCGGAGAACCGGAGGATCCTCGAATTTTGGGCGCCAAATCTCGAGTACTGCCTCGGTCCTTCGGATCACGGGGCGAACACTCGCTCGTTCCCGACGGGACGAGCCGGAACCCGGAGTCAAGCCTTTGACCTTCGGGTTTCAACAGGTCTTCCGTGCGGTCCTTCCAGTGTCTCCGCTCGCTTCCTAGGGTTCCTCGTCCACGACATCTCGTTGCCTTCGTCCCGGTTCGTACACGTCGACATCATTCCATTCGATGGCGGCAAGTCCTTTCTCGTAAGCGAAGGCTGAGCAGGAGCCCCTTTCCTGCCTTGTAGTGAGGCAGCCTCACTACAACCCCAACCCCCACACCCCGCGCCCTTTCGAAACCCTGTGCTTGTAAAAGCCTCGTGCGCATCGCTTTTCCCTATTTCAGATCTTCCTTCCATGAAAACCATCATAACCAGCCCTTGCACGCCCGGCATCAAGTACACTACTCCGGTTTGTGGTTTTCTCCACGGCGTTCTCATATTTTGGGAAAGTCTAAGTCTCTCTGCCTATATCGCCACCATTGACAATTTTTGTCCGTCCGCAAGGGAAGAGGTGGATGATTGCATGAGTATAATAAAGGCTGCAATGGGTACATACCATAGCAAGAGGGCAGAAAATCGTGAAGGCCATGAAGCCCTACGTAGAATCCCACATCTAGAAGTCAACGAAATTGGTATGACTAATGACATGCACTATAATGACTTTGCTTTATAATCGATACTTTCTTCTAGATTATTGACACAATCGCATTGTTAGCCTCTCGATCTGCCGTAGGCAATTCTAGCAAATGATGTAAGAGATTCATGACAAAAATGAATGACCTGGACTTTAGTAGAGCGTAGCGGACATCCGTTCACAAGAGTAGGATGTCAAAAGAAGAAGTTGAAAGCACCGAGACCACCATGAAAACAACGAGGAAGGCTCATCATCCAAATGCCGCTGGAGGTAATCAAGAGTTTCAAAACTCAAAGGTATTCAATAAACACAATTTCATCCAATCTGTGTGGCATGGCGAGAATAAGGGAACTCGGCATATACTGTCTCCCTTTAATGACCTGTAATTGTGGCGGCGTAGTTGAAGGGAAGGTAGGAAAGACGTAATCATCAAATAGAGTTTCAACGAGATGTTGGGCACTCTGGAGCCGTGACTTAAAAGACAACAGTATCTTAAAACTCTTCATTTCAACTTTTCCAAACTAGCCTATATTTCATATTGAAAAAACTGACGTTGGAGTACATCGAAAATAGGTTCGTTTTCAGGCACATTCACTTTTTAAAAATCTGTAGTGAGTGCTATATGCCTAACTCAGAAAATGTCAAATCTATAAATTTCACCGACTGAAATTAATGTATGACTCTGGATAATCTTCACAGCTGGATTTATCTTTTATGGTCTATGTCATGAAAAAAAATCAGAAAGAAAATTACTTCATATTCAAGAATAAGCGATTTTATTGAGCGAACGATATGTATGAGATCACAAAGAAAGTAAATGTGGGAAAAGATGTAAATGTAGAAGAATATATTTCTATGTATACTTACCCATGTGATTTTCATTCAAAATATATACCTGCAGATGTATATAAATCCGTAATAAATGTCTAATTCATTCTTGAAATGACTTGAAATTTGTGACATCTAAAACAAATGAGCAGTGTATAGAAATAATCAGTTGCTAAACATAGATTGAGTAGACATTTTAAATTCATAATTCTAATTTTTTTCCACATAATTAATTCTTCACAGCAGATATTTATCATAAATTGATTCTCTGTTGTTCAGCTCTAATTCTACAAGTTAAAATATAAATCTTATTTCTATGAAATTTAATTTTCAAGGTACTTTTGAATTTTATTTTATTTTATTCCATAAAAATTATGTTTGTTTGAAAACTAATCCCTTCGTGTTCTTTTATATCTGAATATTACTCGAAAAATTTCAAATTTTCGTAAAAAAATTATTCAAAATATTTTTTCAAATAACGAATAATTAAAATTCACCTATATCATGTATGATTAGTTTATTTTATTTGTGTTTATTATATTCGTTGTGTTAAAAACAGGTGGAATTACATGTTACGTCAATCACAATATATATAAAATTCTTGACAATAGGGAAACAAGTTTAGCTTATGAAAATGAAAGTATAAATGACACAACCTGGTTAAAAATAAACCGAATATAATCAGAAATAACATGAGTAAAGAACTCAAATTAGCATTATATGATTCCACTAAGTTTTAAGAAACTCGTTACATACATCGTGATATTATACCAACTTAAGTATAATGAATTATGCTAATTAATTGAATTTATATTTATATTTTAATTTTAGATATATTCTGGATTAAACAAAATCATCAATATAATCCTGCAAATTTTTAAAATCCAATAATTTGAATATTTTTTCATTGACTGCATATATGTTTTATAATGATGTTGGCATGATGTTACAATGGCATTTTTTAAGAAAAAAAATTAAATGTGGATTTGGGAAAAAAAATTAAAGGTAATGATAATAGATTTCAAGATTTAAAAATTGCGCAAAATTTGCAAAATTATTCATGTTTGTAAAGATGAACAAAAAAACTAACCACTTGACTATAAATTTAGTATGGAAAATCAATATATTTGAATTTTAAAAAAATGTCTATATAATTATAAATAAATAATTAAATATCGTGAAAAATATGAAACCTATAGCCATAATCATAATTGAAAGGTTGTGAATGAAGTTTGATGATTTTTTCAATAAAAATAGTAGATTTCTGTGTACCTTCAAAAAAACATCAATGTAATTTTGCATACCACAAAATATATTCAAAATTTATTTTAATTTCTTATAGAAATTTCATGTCAATATTTTTTATAAATATTTTTACGTATATGTTTCATTTATAAAATAATAATTTTCGTCATGTGTAACAAGTTGCAATATATATAAAATTTTCAATTTGAAATCATATAAGTTTTATCTCTTAAAAATATAATGGATTCTTCAGTTTAATTATTAAAAAATTTATTTTATCAAAAATTTGAATTTATCCACCATGAAAAAATCTCCTGATTATGAAATGAAGTTAAATGCCAAATTTTTTTTAAATTTTTATTTCAATGCATTTTTATGATCTCCATACATACATATGTATATCTAAGTAAAGCTAAATGAAAGAAAAATTAATTTACCAAGCTCGAAGATCGGCTTATTATATTTGTAGATAACACAGATTTTTGTATATATTTTTTTGCTATATCATTTGAGTCAATTTTTTAAAAATGACAAACATATTTATTGTAGTCAGTTTTAAAAATTTTATCATCATAAAATAAAAGAATAATAATTTAAAATCTATATGTTTGAAGTGTTTGCAGGAAAGGGTTCTTAGTCAGATGGAAAAAGTTTCTTGAATATAAGGATATGGATATATCTCAAAAAAATATATGTGTTTTATAAAAATCAATCCTATCTTTTAAAAATTCAGATTATGGTATTTTATTTTGAGTACGAATCATCACTCATGATATATATTATTGATAGCAGAAATAAGTTGCAAACTACAATTAAAATGTATATATAGAAGCAATAAACTTCTGTAACTTGCTTTGAAGTTTTACTTCGAATATATAATTGTAGGTTTTGCATGAATAATTTTAATTTTTCTTGATATTCAAACATAAAGGTAAGGTCTAGTGTATACTGAGCGCAAGAGTATAACCTTACGATTGCCTGAGCGATGATTACCGATATTTATTGAGTAGCAGAGAAAGTGAAGGTAACAGCTAATTTTTTTAAATGTATGTGCATCTCGAGAGTTGGTCTATTTGTTCCTTTAATATTCGAATTATGGATGCGAATTTCGACGTGTTCCGAAGAAAATTTTCGAAAGCGTGTTATACTAGACAAAAAAGACCATCTTACTCGGTAGATAATTAACGTTGTGTTGCATATCATTACAAAATGCAATGAAAACGCAAAAACAAGGAGCACTATAAGCATGCAATTCTATGAGGTATGCATCTCGCATCACGATATTATTGAAGTGTTCTCATAGTGTCGGGTTGTTGTGATATTATGGTATAATCGGAGCTCTTAAATATTCATTACAACCCCCGATTTTTTTTCAAGTATTACCAACTTTCGTTGTTATCCTCTAAAAAATGATATCTCAAATTAAAAAAGGTATTATTAAAGGAGCACACTAAGATTAAATATACCTGCGAGGTAGATTATATACATCGGGTGCAATAAATGCGTGATACTCACTGCGTCTACTGCGTGAGTGAATAAAAGAATATTGACTTGAATCCAAGTGTTGTACTTCCATTAGATCAATTTTCTGTTGCGATGATGTTTTATACTAATTTATGCAAGTGGGTGCATGTTTGGTTGCTTGTTCTCTTCACAAGCTGACTGGTCACTAGCTTCAAACTCTGGTAATCTGCAGCCTTTCGATTGCTGAAACTCACCGACTCCCTTCTCCCGCATTCAAAGGCCTTCTCCGAGTCCGATCCGCTGGTTCTCTGACGGGTGTACGTGATCCATTTGTTGCCGTAGAACTATGTACAACTCAAGGGGGAAAGAAAAACGCTTGAATCTGAAACCACCAAGGAAGAAACCAGTGTTGTCAATATGCACAGTCAGCTACAGCCAAAAATTTCAAGTGTATTCTAGACATTGTAGAGTCATGAGCTATTTTATTGTAGATTTTATGAAATATAAGATACATATCACAGTTGTAGACGCCTTTGAAAAATATATATTTTAATTTATCCACTGCAATATCCAAAGTTGTTCGTGAAGAAAACGTATTCTTGTATCTCTCAAACATTTTTTTAATAATGTAAATCTTGCTTAGCAGCACTACCGATCGCTAGAAGATAAAGGAGCTCAATTCTCCAATATCTGCACTCTTAGCCTCCCGGTACTTCCCCCGATGTTAAAGATATTATCGTACGCTCACTTTTTGTAAGTTTGCACTGCGAGACTTTCTGCCATTGGATATTTGGGGCTTGAATCTTTTCTTTTGAGAGCGAGGGTGAGTGAACGAGTCACTAAAGTTTATCACTTGGAGGCAGTTGATATTAGCAACAGTGGCGATTGAAATGGATACCGGCTGGTTGGTGTGATTGGTTCAGAGCTCCCCCCAGTACGAACTAAAGACCAAAATACCATTGGATATGTTATCCTGTGATGCTGTTCTATACTTACATTTACATTCAATGCAGCGTGGATGTTTAAGGAAACGCGATTGCTGCTTATTGATAATAGCGCTTATCATCAAAAGAATCATATTTACTAACACAGTTGAAGACTTTGACTCAAAGCAATGTATAGTGCCAGCTGTGAGGGATTCATTCATTCATTTCGACCGGTTTATGAATAGTTAGCAAAGTTTTCTTGGAAACCACCTGAGAATGTTTAATGATGAACATTCTTGAATGTTCTCGTCAATGCAACAAGGAGTGAGACTCAATAAGACTTTGGCAAAATTGAGTTTAAAGCCTCTATTGATGATGAAGTGCATCTTTATGTTCTGTCCCCTCCTTCATTATGACGAAGGTTAAAAACTTGAAAAAGCTTCGTATAAAGCGACAATAGGAGATGGGGCTCAGAATAGAAGATAAGTTATTATCTCTGACTTCTTTAGCGTTCACCCTATGATCTCCAGACCACTGTTTTCAAGTAGGAAATCCAGTTTAGGTTACGAGATTTGGATTCAACGTCGCTCAGGAACCAGGAGTCACCAATCGAGAGTCCAAAAACTTCATGGCAGTAGAATCCACAGCAACATGGAGATGAGGACGTGTGGTTTACCGCTTCAACTGAACAAATCCTCGAAAATAAGTGGAAGCCTACGTGCAAAGCGAGGAGAGTTTCTAAACAAAGATTGAGGCGGGATCGTGTCAGACACTAGAAAACAAAACGAGCTCAGGGCGAATATAGCTTCGAGGGAAAAAAATTTACTCCAGATTTGACTGTACTCCAGGGTCCTGTATGCTGGCTGGACGGGCTCGTGGAGGTCTATCTGGAAGCGGGCAGATATCTTGCCCCAATATTCCCGGGACCAAACAACGAGAGGCAGGCGAGTTAAGTGAAAGACTAATAAAGACAAAGCAAAGTCCTTCCCTACAGCGCGTCCTGTAGTTGGGGACCTCGTCCCTCCACCGTGAGCTCGCCTCGCCTCGCCTCGCCTCGCCTCCTGGCCAACTCGCCCCCACTCCAACCTCCTAAACCCAGCCCGGGTCCGACTGGTCCACTCGCCGGAAGAGCACGTCAGCTGTCGGTCAGGCGACCGGCGGTGCGCTACGACGTGACTGACCAGACAAAGTAGGGGAATTCCATCAACCATGTCGTGGAACCCGTGTCTACTTAGTCAATGTCCTCTTCTGCAGCCGACTCGCACTTCCCCATTTCCCCGCCACGTCAGCAAACATCGACTACCAGGTCAAAGACCACTGTTTGCAGAGTTGCGGTCGAGTGGTACGGGGCTGGAGCGCCGTAGGGACAGTAAGTACGCCATCAGAATCCAGCCAGCCTCTCCTAGGGACTCGAGACCGACGCTGGGATCTGCCGGTGCAGGCTGGTTGACTACGATGATGTGCTGCGATGCGATGGATACGGCCACACGCTCCCAGGGCGGGGAACGAGAGAACGCGGATTGAAGTTTCCGCGAGCAAGCAAGTTCTCCTGGCTCCCGACCTGCTCAGTGCTGTGCACCACTGCAACGGGCCCCCGAGGACGGGGTCCTAGACCCGTTGGGGGGCAGGGCAGGTGGGCCGAAGCAGCAGGTACTTTGTACCCCGCCGAGGTCGAAGTCGCAGCTCACAACAGCAGAGCAGGCCAGAGTTCGGCACAGAAGGAGGGAGGGAGAGAGAGAGAGAGAGAGGGGGAGGGAGAGGAAGGGTGCTTGAGGCGAAGGCAAAGGAAGGAAGGAAGGAAGGAAGGAAGGAAGAAGGGAAGGAAGGGAGCGAAGCTTGGCCTCAGGCTTAGCCTTGGCCTTTATCCTAAAGCTGAACCGACGGGTCGCTTATCGTGGGCCGGTGAGGTTTCGTCCAGGATTGTCTGTGAGAGAGGGGTCGGAGGAGTGGGAGGGGCTGCCTGGATCGCTGTACAGCACCCGCAGCTGCGCTTAGATTAGAGTAGAGCGAGCGAGATCGCGAGCGGGGCCAGGAGGGTGTGGAAGCACGACTTAGTTTTCTGTGATTGATTCCAGAGAGGGGAGTGAGGAGATGGGATCACATCTCCTCCGATGATGTGATTCTCTGGTACGGGGAGCTATCGCTCGCCCGCTCGCTCACGTAGAGCGTGTGCCAGTTGTGTCCCGAGTTGCTGCTGAGTCCTGACTTTCTCCCCTCTTATATGTCCTCGCTTTTCAGCCTCACGCCGGCTCGATTCCCACGTTTCGGTTTGGAACTTACCAGGACCTGAGGAGCATCGGGCGTTTTTTGTTTAATTGATAGTCGTAGGCAGAGAGGGCCGTGAATCCGCGTACTAGTGCAGTCCGACTCCGGCTCGAGGGAGGTCGCCGATCGAGCGCTGATCGGAGCTCGGACGGAGCCGCGGACCGCAATTCGGATCAGAGACAGAGAGCGAGGAATTTTTTGCTCGGGGGAGGCCGACGACGAGATGAGAGGACGTGGAGGAGGAGCTGACGACATCGCGCGCGCGTGTCCGCTGGCCGGAAAGCACGACTAAATGTCTGTGGACGGTGCGAGCTCTAGAGACGACGTAGAAGACCGCGTGCGCGTGCCGAATTCCGAATGGGATTGCCTGGCTGATGGTTTGCACGGATCAGCAGCTGCGAGCCCGACCCCGACGACGGCGACCGGGACCTGGATCCGACAGGCAGTTTTCGATACCCGTGGCAATTGGTTTGGATGCAAATTGCGCTCTCAAGGACAAATCTAAGATTGGAGACGAGCCGCTGCGCTCCTCGAGTCCATCGGTGGATGGGACGGGAATTCTCACCCTTTGTTCGTACATCACTCGTGGCAGCGTCTCCATCCAAGCCCGTGCTGCGTGATCTGGAAGCGGCTGCTGTCTCCATGCCAGTGGGTGACAGATAGCTAGCCTGGGCCCGCTCCGATTTAACTTCACATCTGGTAGCATAAAGTATCGTGCAGATGACCTGAGCACAGGACCAGTCGCGGCGCAGTGCTCAGATCCCCTGTAAATGTCACATGAACGGGATGGCGATGGGCATGGTCATGGCGGAATTGTAAATACAGTCCAGTGATTTGGAGCACGTAGTCAGGAAAGTTCCCCTGGAAAATTCTTCGACCCCCCCGTTGTGTAACTGGATATTATCATCTCAACGAGCTGTGCCGTCGGCACAGTGGATAGTGGGGAGCCCCTAGAGATGGCTCCTCAACGGGGCGGAGGCTCCCCCATGGAGTCTCAGCATCCGTTATTAGCAGGTGGGCGGGATTTCACGCAAGTGTTGCTCAGCCCTCGCATTGCAGGGACGAACAGTCCAATGAATCGACGATCTCTGTCATCGAAGCGGATGCAGTCCCCTGCCGAAGAGTTATGGGCCAGAGGGTTCTTCGGAGACGAGGACGGAGGCCAGCATCACCATCCCGACGGCAAGAGGCATAATCTCATCGAGCACATTCTTCAAAGTATTCTAGGCGAGTGTTTATTTCGACGGTCCTTAGGCATAGTCAGCTCATTCAACTTGAAAAGGGGCATCCGCCAATCTGCCTTCCTCTTCTTCGGCCTTCTTATGATCACGTTTTTGCTGGTGAAAATCTCGTCAGTCGGATGGTTGGGCCTCGATATTGTCCGAGGACCCATTCCTTACGGTTCCAAGGTACGCAATCTCTTTCAGCCTCTTCCGCACGCTTGTCCTGCGAATCAGTCTCTTCTCACTGTAGCTAACATTTCACTGGGCTCCGGATTTCGAGAGTTCTGGGGCGAGTCATGCACATTGCTTGGCGTCGAACAGCTTAGTGTTCTAGTATTAAGCCAGGCGTCTACGTAGACTTGCCGTTGGTTCTTTGCAGCTATTGTCATTTTAGCACTTCAGCTGGATGGATTGGTAGGAGTTTAGGCAGTTTAGCCTGGCCACACTTCTGATTCGCTGCAATCGATCTCAAGGACTTGCAGACCATGCCCGATCGCCTTTTCGTGAGACCGGCAGACACTCTCGGGACATCTGAGGCCGTGGTTGAGCAAGATTATAAGGTTGAAACACCGCAAATTGACAAAAGATCTATCCTGCAAAATGTGGCTGTTAAAAATTCGGCAAGTCAACTGAATTACGTATGTTCTCTGGACTTGCAGCCTCTATGCTCATTCATACGCCCGTTTATTCTTTTGGATTTTGGTTTGTTTTGTTCTGACGAGCAAGATCAATAGTGAACTTGAGGTGACCAACAGATGCCCCGTGTTTCCACCTTCAAGTACTCGGGAATCAAATTCTCGGACAACTCTTTGTGGGAACCCACAGACAAAAGCCTGTAGAAGGGTCACAAATAGGTCAAGAGCATCACAATTCTCCGGTCTTCGGATATCATATCTGAAACAAAACTTTCAGTTGTACCTCACACTAAACACACACTTAGAGTATGGAGCCGCAGTATGGAACGCCAACACCATATAACGCGTTAAGTCGGAAGCAGGACAGCTTAGAGCCTTTGGCACTATGCTCGGCGCATCCGCACTATTTGGCCGGGCAGGAGTACGAGCAGAGGTTGTAGTGAGGCTCACATGAGATTTTGCCTAGCTGAAGAGGACAAGACTGTTGCGACTTTAGCCATCTTACCATTACCCCTAAGCTGGATGGTGGACTCGTAAGGGGCGAAGCATACCACAAAATCAGGCCATAACTTTACACTTGGGACCAGATCTCTTGAAAAGAGATAGTGCCATCAAAACTCTAGTTTCGGAGATCACAACTAGGTCCGCCGAGACACAGACTAGGGATGATAAAAAGTTCAATTTTGATCTCCTTCTCTCTATCTCTACCCATTTTATAATCTGAACACGTGGTCTTTAAGCAATCTTTTCAAGGTTCATGTGCCGAGGCACAAGGCTGAAATTCAAGTACTGCACGGAAGTCATCCCCCTTCAACACATCGTCACCCTGCTGGTTGCACCTTGTCGTTGGAGTTCGAAATGATTGGTCAGAATCCGGCCTATTACAATATCTTACGCAGAATGATAGCGAGATTGTGCCTCCTCAGCTGTTGGACCACGAAAACATTTCAATTTTCTAAACCTCGATTCAAGCCCCAAGCGGCTTTTATCCTCGGCCAACAGTGACGTGGCCAAGTAACTCTACTGGTAGATAAGCTAACGAAGGTTCCATGTTTACGCATGGAAGCCACGAAGGAAACTCGCAATGAAGTCTCTCGTAATGAAGGACTACAAGAGACTCTTTTTACTGGTAGATAATGTTGCCTCCCCCAGCTCGTTCCTGTCTTTTTTCCTTCCTTGTCGTCCTGTAAGTGCTAGCGTCCTTCAGCCAGGGCACCGTGTCTACGGTTTCAGGCTATGGCAGGCACATACCGAAGAATAAAGTTTGTTTGTTTGTTTGTTGTTTCTACATGCGCTGAACGCAAGAAACTAATTATCACTCCAAGTCCACTTACAAAGGGTGTATATATATAGGCTGAGTAGAAGGAATGAGTTTGTTCAGGTAAAACCTGGGAGCGGCATGCTGTGGGCGAAACCTGACAGTGAAAAATATGAGCAATGCATCAGCCGGGGGAAGAATTACAAAAGTAAGACGCTCGTGTCTATTGAGAGTTCTTTGTTCTTCCAGTTGTCTTTTGCAAATAGTTGCAGAACGAAGTGGCTTACAGGGGCTGTAAAAAATTTTTATGGGGAGCTGATCGATGATTGAATTGGAATCTGATATTCTGACCTTGGTGACCTAACACTTCAGAACCGAGTGACGCCACGAATGGGTATATCATGGTGAACGCGAATGGTGGATTGAATCAAATGCGTTCTGGGGTAAGTGTTCAGAAATGCTTGAGCTTGAGCTTGATTTCCCCTGTTTAAGTTAGGTTCATCCATATTATGTCTCTTTAGCCTCACGATAAATGCCAAGTCTCACAACCTTCTCTCGGTTTACAGATATGTGATATGGTGGCTGTCGCAAGGCTCATGAATGCTACCTTGATTGTTCCATCACTCGATCACAGCTCGTTCTGGGCAGACCCAAGGTGAGAAGCTTTTAGGATTGTGTTCGTTTATTCCTGATAGCTAAGCATTATCCTCTGTAAAATTGCACAAGTTCGATTGGTCCCCTGATGAGCACCTTCGTCTCAGCATCGTGCAGTGCTAACAGTCAGTTGGCAGCAACCGTCCAGTTCGTTTTGTTACTCTCCTGATCTACTTTTTATGCCTGGTACTCTCCATGTGCTCACGACAGTACTGAAAGATTCAATTTTGTGACAGTGAATTCAAAGATATCTTCGATGTAAACCACTTCATCGAGTCATTGAGAGATGACGTTCAGATCCTGGAGGCCCTTCCTCCTGCGGTTGCAGGCCTTACTCCTTTGAAGAAAGCTCCCGTGTCATGGTCCAAGGTACTCCTCCATGGACGCAATTATGTCATTGTAACCCGTGTAAGAAAAGTTCTGCCTAGGTTTATAGCAAGTTTCATGCTGCTAAATAAGTGTCACAGTCGTTACCGTTTCTTATACTCAGCCTTACTACTGGTAAAAGCCTCATGGAAAGGTTGCTGTTCTTCATGTCGTGCACATCAAAAGGACATCCTTGTATGAGTCTTTCTCATGGTCTGGCGTACAACTGTTGTTTCAGCTTTTCGAGAGAGAGGGTCTGAAAAACTAGGCGGTCATTTTCTTGTTATCATGCGCAGTTCGGTCGGTACGTGGTGAGTAATCCAGCCACCAATTGCAGTGGTCTTTCTCACTTCAGTTCCTGTTGGTGTTCAGGGTTCGTATTTCGAGAAGGACCTTTTACCGTTGTTGAAACAACACAAGGTTTTGTACTTCACACACGCGGACTCACGGCTAGCAAACAACGGAATACCTGATTACATCCAACAGCTGCGTTGCCGGGTCAACTATCAGGCTTTACAGTATGCCAAGCCTATTCAGTTACTCGGAGAGAAACTTGTCGCAAGAATGCAGCAGGACAGCCCATACATCGCATTGCATCTCAGGTTGTTTGCCTTTCCTGGTTGATCTGGTGCTTAGTTGAAAACAGTGAAGGTTTTTATCTTCGGAGAGCTCGTTTGTTGAAACAGGAATTTTGTAAAGACAAAATCAAGGGAGATGATGGCCTGGCTCTCCAGAGCTAAACTCCGATCCAATCATTATCTCACACTCGACTTGACCTTTAGGTATGAAAAGGACATGTTGGCTTTTACCGGATGCACCCATGGGCTCTCCGCAGCTGAGGCCCAAGTACTTTACGAGATGCGTCAAAATGTGAAGCACTGGAAAGAAAAGGAGATTGATGGCGAGGAAAGACGTAAACAAGGTGGCTGTCCGTCGACACCTCATGAAACAGCTCTTCTTCTGAAAGCTCTCGGGTACCCTGCGTCAACAAAGATCTACATCGTAGCTGGAGAGATTTATGGTGCCCACAGCATGGACTCTTTGAAGGAGTCGTATCCCCACATTTATTCTCATGCAACTCTAGCTACCGAGGAAGAATTAGATACTCTTAAGGGATATCAAAATAGGCTTGCAGCTCTGGATTACATCTTGGCTCTTGAGAGTGATGTATTTATATATACGTACGATGGAAATATGGCCAAGGCCGTACAAGGCCATCGACGCTTTGAAGGCTATCAGAAAACTATCAATCCTGACAGGTATGCACACTTTCTGTATCCAAGACTTTCATGAAGAATGGATTTTGCTTTTGCCTTGCTTTCCCTCGTGCTTGATGTTAATCTACCAGCCATCTACCGTGGAACATGAATGAGACTTGCTAGTAGAGATCAGGAAATGTGAACTCAGCTGAGTCTTTCAGTTCCTGTCATTCCTGTCGTTTGCTAGCATCATCTTCTCTCGGTAATATGTTACAGATCTTCCACTTGATTTAAGTGGAACCAACTTACTGGTGAAACGATCACAGTTGTTATGAGTCACTTGGCCTTCCTAGATGTGAAACTCTCTCGGTTTGTTCTTCCCCCAGCGCCGTGTTCATTAACAAAACATGATTTAATCAATCTCCGTTTAAGTCGTTCTATGTTACAAAAAGATTTACATCGTATATAATGGTCAGTCCTCCTCTAACCACCATTGAAGCTCGATTAGCTTAGAGCAGTTTGACTTGAATAGTTTGGAAATTGTGTTGTTCAAGGAACTGATCGAACACATGTCCAAGTTCAGCTTTTGGACTGAAATTCACATGCCTACTCGCGGAGACTCCCTCCGTTTCAGCTCATGAAACCTATTACTGCTCAAGATTTGTTTCATGTTTGGCTTAATTCTTTCTGGACAATCATCTTAGCATGGGGATCACGTGTCGTACGTGATCAGACAACGCTGTCGAAGCATTGAATGCTTGTACACGTCACGCTCAGCTCTTGTTTCTTGTTCATGCGGGGAAGTGCATCTGTTTCCAGAGCATAGGAGTATGCAGAGTAGGCACTGCCGAGTTTTCAATCCTGTTGGCTCTTTCTCATGTACATCTCGCCGTTCAGGCACCTCGAGTCACAAATTTGACAGGATTGCTGCCGTCATCGAGCAGTTGTAAATTGCTCTTTCTGATCGGGGCTCGTTTGCGGCTTTTGCAGGGAGAATCTCGTGAGGCTCGTCGACGACTACGAATCGGGTGCCATTTCTTGGGAGACATTTGAAACAGACGTGAGAAAGCTTCACGAGAACCGAACAGGGGCTCCTTACCTGAGAGAACCCGGAGATTCACCGAAAACGGAGGAAAACTTCTACGCTAACCCTTACCCGGGTTGCATTTGTGAAAACAAGCAAGCAAATGCTCGCAAACTACTGAAGGGTATATGACGCGCTCGAAGCTCTCTGCGAACAGTCTACGCCAGTACCCCTTGACTATCTTGTGCTTGACGCCCGAAACTCAGCCGAGACGGAGACGCAAGCAAGGGCGTCTACCTCACTCATTGTAAGAGCTCAAGTTGGAAGTAATAATAGCTGGTTCTGAGCCCTTTTCGTTCGATTCCCAATCTGGACATGCGTAGTTGCAAGACTCCAGCAGGCACAGGTGGAGCTCCCATTCTGCGGACGCAGCAAGCAAGCAAGCATCTGGGAGCCCCGAATTCTTGCCATCAACAGACTAGCGAAAGAATTGTTGTGTACTCGTATATCAGTCCCTGCCAACGCCTTTGATGAACCTTAGACCCCGTGCCCCTGCCTGCATGCACGCCGTAAGTATCAGGGCAGGATGGGTTTAGGTGGTGTGCAGAGTACAAGATTGGAAAGAGGGAGGCCCTTTCATGCCCAGCTCATGAGAGAGCTTGCCGCGCTGATATCCGTGCGATTTTTTCAGGATTAGATTCCCTGAGACCCAGAGGACGAGACAGTCGCACAGAGAGAAGAAGAAGAAGAAGAAGAGAGAGAGAGAGAGAAAGAGAGAGAGAGAGAGAGAGTAGTTATATTGCGTGTTAGCCTTTGACCACAGGGCCTGCGTCTCGCTACGATTCGTAAGTCATCCGCACTGCGGTGTGTCACCTCTCCACCTCTTGTGGCTGGCTGGGGCTCCAAGCGGCGGTAGCAGCAGCCCATGCCAGCCACCGCGGGTGATTTTTTCTAGAGCTTAGATGTAGGTCAAGAATTTGGTTTGCGAGGCCCCTCGTGGGGATGTTCTATAGCATGGAGATGCTGAGAGGGAAAGCTTGGTATAGGGACGACGAGTATACTTGTGCAGAGAGGACAGCGACAGCGAAGGCACTCCTCTTAGGATCTTGCGTGTGCAGGAAGGAAGGAAGGCAGGCAGGCAGGCGGTGGGCACAAGTCCGAGTCCCACAGTTTTTTTTCCCTTGTTGACGACGAGAGCCATACTCCGCGTATGGTGCGTAGAAAAATTCTAAAGCTGGCCAGTTCGACATACCGACAACCGCAGGCACACTCCACCTCCTCGGAATTTTTAGAGAGAAAAGTCCCGTACGGGGCACAGCTCTGAGCGGCCCACCACCGCAAGAGCGAAATTGGAACGTGTAGTTACGTGTTGCACTGTAAATTGCAGCCTGTAGTTGCAGATCCCTTTAGGTAGTTTTTTAAGTCTTAATTTACAGCCAGTTCAGTTAATAAAGCACACATCATCACCTAGAGTTGATCCTTCAGGCCCAGTGATGTTCGCCCGTTCGTCGTGTCTGTTTCTCTCGAATCCGGTTCTCCGGGTCGGAAAATTCTGTCGAGCGCACGGATCATGGCTAATGTCATACCTTCGTGCGTCTATTCTTTGTTCCAAAGTTCCTTCAGCGTGACTGTACATTGAAATAAAGAGGTTTGATAGTTGACAATCAAAGCAATAATACCTCTCAAACACGCGTGGTTCAACTCGGCTTGTTAATCGACTTTGACAGGCCCAAGAATATGAGAAGAATAGCATCTCCATATTTATGTGAAAAGCTCTCAAATAAATTGAGTTTGTCAGAGAGTATATCTATATATAATGGTTTTCACATTTCAACAACTAATGTGAATGAATTGAAAGATTGAAATTTGTAATAATTATTTATATTTTTAGTTAAGCTCAACTGAATGATTGTTATCTGGATAATAGATAATTGATTGAGTCACATCTGATTAAAGAAATAATTTGGTTAAATACTTTTCATGAGTTCAGATTATATTAAATTCAATTTATAATCAACTAAGGTCATGAAGGAAAAAATATTTAAAAAAATAACTATATTTTGAATCTAAATTTTGTAAAACTATTTTAGAATAGAAAAAAATTTGAAATTGATTTCAACAATGTATATTATATTTTTTGAGAAAATTATTTGGTGTTGTACTATGAAAATCAACACACATCTTGTTCTATAATTATCTAGTAGAATGAGATTTGTGTTGATTTCCACACATTTCATTCTTTAGGATAAAATACCCAATCAAAAATATTTAAAATAAAGAATAGTATTTTGAGTCTAGATTTTTGTAATAATTAAATTATGATTAAAAAAAACTAAAATTGATTTCAAACAATGAATATATATATGATTTGGAGAAAAGTACTTGATGTTGCAATATACAAAACAACACAAGATATCCATCATACAATGTATTCTATTAGAAAATATACTAACGGTTTATTTATATATGACATTAATCAGTTTAAGTATGATATACAGTTGACATTGTTAATTTTGTTTTGAAAAAAACTAAATAAAATTAAATATTTATTTTTATCCGTGATTAACATTTTGGTTTAACTATAATTCATAAAAATAACATCTAAATACAATTGAGCTAGTTGTGGAGATGTTATCGTTTTTTGTGGTTGATTTGATATCAATCATCTTGCTCAATTTGTCCACAAAAACCACCGCTGAATCGTTTCCTAATGAAGTCTTTGATAACTGACATATGAAATCCATCGTGACATGTTCCTATCGCTGTTCGGGAATAGGAAGAGGTTGTAATAAACCCGACGATTTTTGAAAACTCAACGGGTCTGTTGTTTTGTTGACAAGCAACACAATTTTGAACATAATACTCCATATATTCATGTATTTTGGACCAATTGTACACTTGTATACTTTCCACGGTTTTCTCCACTCTCACATGAATTGCAATGATTATGTTTTGACTTTAGGCCAAAATCATTATACGCAAATTATAATTTTGTGAAATCCATATATGCTGTTTGTAGTACGCCAAACCTCAAGACTTCTCTGACTTTCCTATTTGTAGTGCTTGAGTGATCTCTTCATTTTCATTTGTGACCTGTGTCATCTTGATCCATCAATCGGCCTGAATTTTCACTTCTGCAACATGATTCAAACAAGACATGCGTGTGAGAGTATCTGCGAGTTGCTTCTTTCACTCCATGTACCGAATCTTCATGTTGAAGCGTTGACGCCACTCTGCCCATCGAATTTGTCGTTTAGACAAATCCTTCTGAGAATCTAAAAAAACCAAGGGTTTATGATAAGTCTCCACCACAAACTCATTATCACCCAAGTTATGCTTCCAATGTTTGGTTGCCAACACAATGGCTAAATCTTTTCGTTTTGTCGTGTGATAATTTTGTTCCGCCCCCACCAACTTTCGAGAATAAAAAGCAACTGGATGTCATATATCTTCACATTCTTGTTGAAGTATGCCACCTACTGTTGTACCGGATGCGTCATTAGCCAACTTGATAGGATGGTTAGGATCTTATCACTTGAGGATATGTGCGTGTAACAAAACATCTTTCAATGTTTGAAAATCTATCTCTTGAGCTGTTCACTATCTCCATTTTTGACATTTCCCTAACATGGAAGTCAAGGCCTAAGCCAAATGAGCAAAACTTCTCATAAATCTACGATAGAATCCAGTGAGTTTTAGAAAACGCTTCAACTAAGTTTGATACTCAGGTGTTGTCCATATCTGAATGACATCTATCTTAACAGTCATCACTTGGATTCTTGCAACTGTAACTCTATGACCCAATTAATCTATTTCTAACTTGCCAAATTCACACTTTGAAGCTTTGACATACAATTGATTGTTTGTCAAAACTTGAAGTAACTCTCGTAAATGACTTCTATGATCATTCAAAGTTTTGTTATACACCAATATATCATATAGAAAAACAATGACATATTTATCTAGATAAGGGCGAAAGATATTGTTCATCAATCCCATGAATATAACTGGTCTATTAGTGAGACCAAAAACCATTATTATGATACTCAAAATGGCCATACATAGTACAAAAAGCTATCTTGTGGACATCTTCATCACAAATTCAAATTTGATTGTAACCGCTTCTCTAATCTAACTAGGTGAAATACTTCGCTACTTGAAGTTGATCAAACAAATCATCCATATGAGGGAATAGATATTTATTTTTCACCGTTTGCTAATTCAACACGCGATAATCGATGCCTAGTCTCATGGATATATACTTCTTCGTCACAAAGAGCACTGAAGCTCCATAAGTTGAAACAATTAGTTCAATGAATCCATTGAATCAACATCTCATCCACTAGAGCTTTGCAATCTTCCAATTCGTTTGGAACCAAACGATATGGTGCTTTGCAAATTAGTGTACTTCCTGATATCAACTTAATCTTGTGATCTACTCGCCTCTTTGGTGATAATCCTGTAGGTAGATCATATGGAAAAACATCTTTATACTCCATAGAAAAGTCGTTCAAGGACTCGGAGATATAAAGTTTGTCCGTTTATCCAATATTTCTTATAAGTCCAAGGAAAAATAAATCATTTCTAGAAATGGATATTAAACCCATCACAAAAGAGTTAAATTTCTATTCCTAGATCTAATTCTATCTACATAGATCTTCCAACCACTACTTGTAGTTACTTTTCTTTTCCAATCTACCTCCAGATTTTATTGCTCAATCCATATCATTCCAAGATCAACGTCATATAGAAATAAAAGAATTACTGTCCATTCAATGCTATCATTGAATCTATCTATAAATAATTCTACACTACGTGGTAGTGATTCTATCACTTCAGTTTGTTCGTTTGGCAATTCAACTTTCTCATTTACGGCATTCATCAACATCAAACCTAACTTTATATCAACACTTTTTGACCGAAAATTCTCAGTTGTTCCAATATCAATTAAAACTTTCACCTTGTGTACTTCCATCAAACCTTCGGTGACAATTAAATGAGCTTGCTTCTTACTCTTTCTAGGAGCTTTCAACCATTGTCTTCTTCCAGACTCGCATTTTCTTCACTTTGTACAACCAGTAAGACCGTGAGACAAGTTTATTGATGATATTCGTTTTCCGAAACTTCTTTCTCCACTAGATGTGAGTAAGGCCTATTGTTGGGGCATATCATCTCCAATGATGGTATAGCGGTGGATCTAGAGAAGGTGACGCGGATCATGGAGTTACCTTTTCCGGTGACTTTGACCAAGTTGAGGCAATTCCTTGGTATGGTGGGGTACTATTGACGGTTCATCCTGTACTTCTCCAACAAAGCTCATGCCTTGACGAATTACATGAAGAAGTGAGTGGAGTACTGTAAGACCGGGTGTTGCACATATGTACCAAGTCTTAGAAGTGATCAAGTGATTAAGGATGATTAGCCAAGGCATAGCTAAGACTAGCTAGTTATGACTAAACTAGTTAGTTATAACTAAGTTTATCTAGTCATGACTAAGTTTAGCTACAATGTCTATAGTTGGCGGAATAATTAGCGGAGTTCTAGAAGAATGGAGTGAGCACTTCTATTTTGTCTTATACAAAAGTTCTAGATTCCAAGTGATTAGATATTTGACTAGAAGCTTGGATTTGATTGGTTTGACTAAATGTATGAAAGATGATTGGTTAGACTAAGTCTAGTGTTGACTTAGTGGCCAAGAAGCTTGTAGAAGTTTAAAAGTTTCCAATGGCATGTCGCCACATCAACCTTGGATTCCGGAAACTTCTAGAAGTTTTAGCTAGACCAAGTGCATGTTGCCACATAGAGAGGGTTAGTCAAACTTATCTAGTTAAAAGTAAGTTAGGAGAAATTACCACATGTTACCATGGTAACTTCTCAAGTAGTATAAATAGAGAGGTAGAGTAGCATCTCTAAAGCAATTTTTGGAGAGTCATGTGTGAGGACTTGTTTCAGGAATGAAGGAGTGAAGTTTTTGAGTATCTTGGAGTATCGACATGTGTTTGCGTTTAAGTGAAGAGAGTGATGAGAGGAGAGTTTGTGTGTGAGTTGGAGTGATACATGGAGAGTTTGTGAGAGAAACTGTTTGGGACATGAGTGAGAGGGTGAATCCTAGTATTCTAGAACCATGATGCGCTACCGCAAAGCCATCAAAGGTAAACCTGAGTGAGAGTCAGCCCGGAGGTTGCATTTTTGGTTCCGTTGCCAGGACCTCAATCTAGAAGGCAAATGTTTAGGATTCGATTCCTAGCTCGAGAGAAAGTATCCATGAGGGATCACTTGGTGTTAAAATTGGGGAATGAAAGAGCGGAGAGTGTGCTTGAGAGCGAAATTCCCCTTGTTTATCCCATAGTCTCATATGATAGCCTAGAAGTGATTTTGTATGTTTTGTTCACGTAAACATGTCTTTTTGAAGAGAAAATTGATCTTAGACACCAAAAAAATATTTTTGAAGTTAATCTTCAAACTTTTTATTGATTGTAGAATTGGAAGATAGAGATTGTTTACGTTTTTGTTTCAGGTCTAGATCATGTGTTAACAAAAAGATATGAGAGTCAGAAGTTGAGGGGTTTTCACGGGTATCAAAAGTCTACTCTCTGGAAAGTTTGTACAGAGTTGATTAATTTTTTTGTATTTCAATTTAGGCTTTGAAACTTCGTACGAGT